GTTGATGAGTATTTAGTTGGCTCAGCCAGATGACTATCCCCATAGGATAAAATACTTAAATAAATTTTAAAAGAACGAATGGCTACAATACGATGGTCGCTTCGACCAAAATCTAGATCAAAGACGAGGAATGACAGAACCTATGTAAACATACTCAAAAGATGAAAATATTACTTCTACCTAAATTCAAATTAAAAGGCCTGATTTTATATGTTTACTTTTAGAACGTCACGTTTAACATAAGCTCACAGTCCTAGTTGATTCCATTAACTCTGGCTGGATGCGTTTCTGTGCTAGTCGTAGTCCAACAGCCAAGCCATCTCCATGAGTTTTCAAAAAGTCGTTAGAGCTTACCGCCACCTGCTCGGCTTGCTCAATTCTATTTCTGCCTGAGCAGCTACGCATTAATAGATGCAGGGAACTATGGCTGCGGGTACATATGCGCGTTGGCCTTGAGCCGACCTGATTCGTTTCGCTAGATTTCTCTTCACCAAGAAATTCTATTTCTGGCTGCTTCTTTCTGACGCTGCTGTTCTCGAACCCTATCTGAAGAGGACTTTTTCTGAAAATACCACAATTCCCAGCCATAGCCATTGAACCATCATTAGCTTCATTGCCACCTAGTCTTGGAGCAGAGAAAAATGGTGATGACGAAGGTGAGCCCATTGAAGAGGAGGTGTTTGTAGTGTCGTCAACAGTGGAAGCTGATGGAATCCAGGGAGTCAGTAGAGGCAATTTTGGCAATGGGCGCTTCAGATTGAACCTCCGCACACCAGGTTGCCTTTCCCAGGCTAAATGTCCTTGTATAAGAGCAAATTGACGGCGACGCCAAGGCTGAGCCCATGCAAATAACATTCGCCGATGGCCAGGTAGCCCGCCCGACCTTCGACTGGTCTCCATCTCTCCAGAAAGGCTGGGAATCTGAGGTGGGCCCCGAAGGAGAGGTATAGAGTAAGCAAATGAGTGGTGAGAAGAAGTGGACTTTTTGAGATGCTGATAATTTCCACTTATAGTGGTCCAGCATGTATCTGGTCTACTAATAACACTAACATCATCTAAACTATTTTCGGCCTCAGTGACAAAGTTCATCCTTTTTGATTTCGTCCCATCATTACATTTATGAAGGGCTCCAAGTTCTAGCTGAGCCATCACTGGGGTCGCTGAAGCAAGATGGAAAGACTTATCTGTATGATGTCTAGTTTTTTGGTTTTTTGAATGCTGATAAGTTCTTGAGTGGGAATCGAAATCACTACTAGTGAATTCCTGAGTTTTACAGTAACTCATGCACCTGGGCTGAAATCGTGGGGGAAATGAAGCAGCCATTAGCTTGGCAGTGCTTTCGGAAATGTTCATTAATCTAGAAGAAGAAAATGAGGCAGTCCTGACGGCCTGCCCATAATTGTGATTGCTGTCAGAACCGAATATATCTTCCAGAGGCGATGATAGCCAGGACTTGGGCCGGCTGCAAACAAAGCACGTCCATGGCTGGAGAAATAAGTGTCGTCTGCTTTGTTCCTGAGGAAAATATGAGTGCATAAAAAATTCTATAAACAGGCCAAAGAAGTTTGCTAATATGTAAATTAAGCTGTAATTACTTCAGGTGACTAGGACTCTTTCAAGATACTCTAATAGTACCTAAACCTACTAAGTATGAATAACCATTTGTAAGGTGTTAAATCCTCTTCAGTATATGATTCAAACTTTAAATTTGTCTTAATTCAAGGTCATTTAAATAATGTTATTAGAAATTCTTACATATTGATCAGCTTTAGCCGTAGTACATCGCTTTGGTTGCTAATTGCCCCAAATTATAAATTGAATACA